ACTCTATTGATTAAATTACCATTTATAAAAAGGTTAGGAAGATCAAATCCTTTAGAGTTGATGTGAAGAACGCTACATTTTTGAAAGGAAAGGGTAATTTGCCTGTCGTATAGCCAGTCAGCTATTCTGTTGAGGTCCTTCTGCAGTGGAGATAGGCTATCCGTTCTACCATGAGAATAATAGATTTTACAATCATCAGCATAAAGATAAATAGTAGAATTTATTACCACTGTGGTGATATCATTTATAAATAATAGAAATAGCAATGGCGCAATACAATTGCCTTGGGGAACGCCTGATTTAACAGGTGTCATGTCAGAAAGAGTGTTGTTAACATATACAGCCTGGTAACGATCTTTTATGTAATCTGAAACCCAGTTATAGAGGTCCCCTGTTATGCCATAACTATTAAGAATAACCAATAATTTGCTATGGGAAACAGTATCAAAAGCCTTAGCCAAATCTAGGTGCACAACTGATACTATTTTTCCATTGTCAATTGGTGCTGACCAATCAGAGAGATTTGCCAATATTAATGGAGCGTTATCGATAGGCTGTAGCTGTTGAATTTACAGTTCTCGACGAAAAATTTAAAACATTGCAAATTGAAATTTCAAAATCACAAAAAAGGAAAGAATATTGCAAAATTCATTTATTTCGTCAGTTTGGCTTGTGTGATAATAAATAGAAAGGTGATTTGCAAATTGTTAATTTCTTTTCCTCCATTAAAAGAATTATTTTAATTAATAAAAACTTATCAAAATGCGAAATAAATTTTATTCGTTCCGCATCAAATTAGAAAATTTTCCTTCAGTTAATCAATTGGATGGCCTTTTTTTGCGGACAGTGATTTAGCACGAGTGAATATTCACAGTGAAAGTCAATAATTTCCAAAGGAATGATCCAACACTGTGGAAGCACAATCTTCTGAACAAAATTAATATTATCAAAGCGAATTAATGCAATAATTAGAAGTTTTTTGGTAAACTTCAGCTAAATAAATCGCTTAATATCGATTCTACCATTCTCATTTCTCTCGGCTGTAATTTCCTAGATAAAAAAAAAAAACTAAAAAAATTCTACAGATAAACCTGCTAAACTTATTTGCAAGGAAGTGCTAATTAATGATCAAAACCAAACAATTCTCAGTAATTTATTCACATCTTTCACAAATTTTTTCATATTTAATATGGAACATTAGAACAAATATATATATTATATGTTTATAATTACAATGGCAAAAAATCACTATTTACTATAATATTTCTTCATAATATTTTTTTAAATTGTCTTCATGATATTTTTAGCATCTATAAACACTGGAAAAAAGCAGAGAAAGTACCATGGCAAGGCGAGACTTTCCATGGGCTATAAGTTAACTGAGATAACTGAGATAGTTGACATTGAGAAATCCTACCAGCGATTGGAAAAAGCTGGATTAAAAGGCAATATTAAGACATTGATTATAGCAATGTAAAAGAAGACACTGAGATACCTGAAATATTAAAACTGGTTTTTACCACACTGGCCAGCATTTAAGGTGTGAAAAAACGCCTCATAAACAGTCTAGCATATAATGTAAAATACAAGCAGAAAAAACATTAAAAGGCATAACCAAGCAGCTAGATTTACTGGAATACTTGTGCTCAATATGCTCAATATCTAGCTTAGACCCTTCCATGATTAGATGAGAGATTCCTCAGAAAATAGGAAATAATGAGCCGAAGATCATGTGGAACTTCTCCATTCAGATAACCCAATAAATACAAACCAATCAACCAGATAAGGTAGTAATAGAGAAGAATCAGAAATCAGCACTGGTGATAGATATAGCGTTACCAAATGACATGAAAATTATGACGAAGGAATATGAGAAGATACCAAAATATAATTGGAGCACTTGAAACTCTTAAACGAGAAGAATAGCTTCAACAGATTCCAGGAACAACTTCAGAGATCTCCATCCTGAAGAGTGCACTACTAGGAACAGCTAAAATGCTTTCAAACTTTTGTAAATGGCCCTATAAATTACCTTTCTGGAAATTTTTATTGCTAACAAATGGTCCGAGAAAAATGGAATTCTAAGTGGATTTCCATGTCGATTCTTTTAATTTTTTTATTTTAACTGGTGATCGGTCGGTTTTTGAAATTCATTTTAATTGCATTTCATACTCATTTCATTTCATTTCATTTCATACTCATCAAAAATTTTTCATAATTTTAATTGTGGGAAATTGCTTGTTGCAGCATTCTGAATTAGTTGTGCGGGTTCGAGAGATTTGTTGCTCGTTTTATTACCTATTTTCATTTAAGGTTAGTTAGTTCCAATTTTTCCTCTGCACGTGAATTGATTAATTGTTCTCGAAAAAATTGGGATAATTCTTTTGTTCTGCGCTATTTTTGCAAGAATTAGCCTTTTAGCCGATTCTTCAGCTTTTTTTGGGATAAAAGGTGATGATCCTTTCTCCCCTATCGCCTTCCGGGCTTACCTTGTGATGGGTACGATGTCTACATGAAAAAATATCTTCCGGATGTATTTTAAATTTCTTTTTGAGCGCTCACCATTATTGACTAAGCTCGCTCCGCTTGCTTGTCGAAATAATAACTTTGCCAGGAATTCACTTGGCAATCGAAAGAAATACAGGAAAATGGCTAAAACTGTTCTAATTTTTGAAAGGACCATTTGCTCTTATCGGGATTAAATATCCAGCATCAGCCATTCATCTTTTTTATTTCACCGTTTGACGATGCTGCAACACGACGATGTGTGGTGCGCTGGCCATATTCGAATCAAGTCTATTCTCAGCCCTTCCTAATTATTTTTTTGCCACTAAGTCACCAATGCACCATATGTATTCATAATCATTGTGTTTGACAGCATGTTTTTGCTGATTACTTATTTTGTCTAACAACTTCTGAAGAAGTCTAAATTGATACAAAATTTTTAGACTATGTCGACACCTATGTACGTTTAAAAAATAAAACTGTTTTGTTTAAGGTTCAACTTTCTTTCTTTCATTTTTTGAATAATTTATGAATGTTGTGTGACTGAAGTAATGGCGAAATTTTCATACTTTTCTTAATCTCAGACTTCCAGCGCACTCAGTGAACCATTAAACTCTGAGGGAATATCGTTAAATATTGCCTCAAACGCCCGTAAATAAAACGAAAGAGTTGAGATGGACCATACAAGTTGCACGGTACGTTCTATTCTTAAATTATTCTTTTTTTATTTCATTATTATAAGTTTTTTATTGGATTTTTAAAAATTGAAATCCTTTTTTTATCGTTTTTTTTAAAATTTGAATTTCTTGAAATCCAATTTATTTTTTTCATAAAAAAAAAATTTTCATAAAAATTATTTTTTAAATGTTTTGCAGGTGTTTTATTGATATTTTATTATATGTTTTATTATAAAATTTATTAATTTATGTATTTATAGAATCACAACGGTTTCGGCATTTCTTCTTCTTCGCAATTATCTCCGGAAAAAATTTCAAAAAAGCGAAAAATTTTGGCATTTGATGACGAAGTCTGCGATTGATTTTTTTATTTTTCCACAATTTTTATCGTTTTTTAAAAAATTGAAATTTTCATTCCTTTCTGGCACTAATGCAGTTAGAATTCTAATTGACATCTTTTATCGCTTTTAAGTTTAAATTTGAGCTCAATTTTTTAAATTTTGATAGTTTAATTTTTATCTATTTTTTACAGTATTTTTAGCAATTTTTACTTTTCTTTGCTAAAAGCACTAATAATTTCGGGTTTAGCTCGTTCCACTGACTCTTTGGCAGCGAAATAATTTTTCGCAAGGAAGCCATATGGCGGTAGGAATATAGACGAATCTCAGCACCACTCTGATTTTTCCTCTGATTCTTGAAAAATAGACTTTACCCTTCCTGCTAGGAGTAGAACTCCAGCACCATCGCTCCAAAAGAAGTGCAAGAACCACTCTGCAAATGAAATCAATATATATATATTTTATGACTGAAAATTTTTTAAAAAATTAATAAAATTAGTTATCTGAATTGATCAAATGTCTTATGAAAATTTATTAATTATTTAGCATTAAAATTTATTTGTACTTTTGCTTCGGCGTATTTTTATTTTATTAAGGCAATTCGCCAAGCAATTAGTGAAATAACGCTCGAGGAACGTATCGAATTAAAGGAATTGGAAATCTTTGCCAAAGAATTTAAACGAAAGCGTAAAAATTTCGGTGAGTGAAAAAAGAATTAATTTAGGCGTTGGAATTCAGAAGGAAAATACGCAACATTTTTTATTGTTTAATGTTTTCCTTTAAATTTTCCATTTGTGAATTTCTATTAAATAAACTAATGAATAATGAATTTCCATGAGTCGAATGGGTTTAATTTTTATTTTTCATATTTTGTATCTTTTAGTTCTTTAAAAAATTTTCCTGAGTGAAGAAGAAATTCAAAAATTTTTTGAAGTAATTTTCAATTTTCAGGTTTGTCTCAGAGTAACATTGGCGTAGATTTAGGCTGTCGATTTGGCATTGATTTCTCGCAATCAACTATTTCACGATTTGAAACCTTAAGTTTATCGTTCAATAATATGGCTAAATTAAAACCACTGCTAAAAAAATGGTTAGCATATGCAGAAGATGCTGTAGCGAATGGTGCAAAAATTCGTACTTTGCTAGAAGCTGCCAGAAACCAATCGCAGAACCGGGTAATTATCGGTTTTAATTCGTCGTTCTTTTTCACGTATATATAAATGGATATTTTGAACTTGAAAATGAACTGCTAAAATAATGCCTTTGAAAACAATTTCAGTTTCCTTCCAAAGTCTTTGAAATGTCCAATTCTGGCACCACTGAAGCAGCGGGAATGAGAGAATCGGGGCGATTATTAAAAAAGCGCAGGAAACGCACAATTCTTGATGTGTGGCAAAAAGTACCATTAGCTTTATATTTCAAACTCAATCCGCGACCAGACCATTATAGAATTGCCAGGCTAGCGGAAATACTGGAATTGAACCGTGATGTTAGTCTTTCTATTCCATAGAATTTGCCTGATGGCAAAATGAAACGGAAATTCTAACGAAAATCTTAATTTAAAAAAATCAACTTTTTGAAATTTTTGCTGTAAACAATTATAAAAATTTTTAAATTACTATTTCTTAAATTTTTATCAAATTTAAATTTTAAATTATTTAAATTTTTTAAGCAATAAAAAAATATTCTATTGCACAAATTCCGCTAAAAATTTTTCGCTTCTCAGGTCGTTCGTGTGTGGTTTTACAATCGCAGGCAAAAAGTTCGTCGAACTAGCAAATGCTTATAAGTTACGCTTATGCTTTTGTGTTCTATTCAATTGGATTTGATCAATTTTTTGTATTTAATTTCATCATTTCATAATTGTATGAATATTTAATAACTAACAAATATTTACAAATACTTATTGAAAGAAGGAAATATTAGTCGATGTATGTTTTATTATTTATCAATTAATATTCATCACTTAAAGGTTAAAATGGATTCGTTGGATTTGCAAGTTGGAATGTGTTCTTGTTTTTTATTTTTACTTTTTTCAGTGCAACGTGTATTTTTTTTTCTTATCTTATCACCTAATTATCTGAAAATTTTTATTCGCTTCAGACAATATTTCTTGAAGCGACTAAAATTTCATCGAATAACTGAGTAATATAAGGTCTTTAAATTGTATAATATTATAATATTTCTTTATTTACAGTTCAGTTCCCCTAACTTTTTTTTATGAACGATTTTTTCTTAAAACTTTTAACAAAAAAAGTAATGAAATGAAAAAGGCGAGGATTTCAACGCCAATGGCCATATTATGCTCGCAATAGTTTTTGAGGTGTTGGGTTCATAGGTGTTTTTGTAATACGATTATTTTTGTCTGGAAAGTATTTATTGTTCACAGTACCATTTTTAAGCAAATATCCTCAAATTCTTCAATGCTGTAGGCAAAAACAAAAGGGATAAAAGATATGCCTTGAATTTTTCACATCTCCCTGAAAAATCATATTAGTGCCGTAAGATTTTGCAATCCTGCAAATATAAATTGGTTGTTGATCGATGTATATTTTTAATTATCTGAAAATTTGCCAGAATTCGTCAAAAAAATATCGAATGGCAAATTTCAGATATTTCATATTCAGAAAATTGCTAAAGGCCAAAAAATAAGCGAACGTCAAAATTTTGACTCAACTGAAATTTGCATACACTTCGTATAACAAATCCTCAAAGTCATACTTCCATCAAAAACAGTAAGAAGAGCAAGCAAAGGGAAAGTCAGGTCTTTCGCACTCGACTAATCGAGTAAAATGCCATAAGCTGGCCCCAGTAAGAATTCCTGAAGCAAATCCTCCTTACTCAATTTCCATTTCACTTCCACACTCTTCATCATCTGTATAAGTTTGGGCTAGCACCATCATGCCTAATATAAGCCGTCAACATATGTTAAAATCATTCCGCTGGTTAAAGTGAGGTATTTGCTAGATTGTTACTTTAGGAGGAATTCCGACTGGTTCCCCAGCACTATTCTGATTTCTTCTAACAACAATACTGCTCTTTTCAAAGGCTGAGCTACTATGCAGAAAAAATACTTAAAATAAAATACTGAGAGATTGAATGAATAAACATTTGTAAATATCGAAAAAATGGCTCATATGGCTCACTATAAGACTCAGAATATTTGCCAATGATTTATTAATAAGCATTTGATGAAAATGGTTCTTTTAACGGTGAAAAAACAGGTGAATGAGAGATTTGAAAAATAATTCTTGAATAAATTTATATTTTTAAATCATTTTTTTCACTTCTTTTCACTTTTTTGAGAAAAATAAATGACAATTCATGAATCTAAACAATTCCAAATTTAGCCAATTAATATATTCAATTATTACATTGGTACTAATTGCACGTGGTCTATTTTATTGAACACGATTTCTACGTCGCGAAACGATACGTGCTATAAAAAAAATAAGAAAAAAGAAACCAAACGCTGAAGGAAATGAAGTTTGTAAAAAAGGTGGCTTGCGGTGCCTTGGTGCCTTGTAATGCTCAAGCGGATCATAATATAATGAATTTGCTCAAATAATTGAGAGGCAAACGCCAAGAAGCCCTTTAGATGTGAGTAGCCAGTATAAAACGGATTTTTGGATAGGTTTACTTTTAAGAATTTTAATTCTTTTTATTCTACTTTTTCCTAAAGTTGAACTTTAGAATTTTAGCACCGGCGCACCGAAGTGAACAATAACCCACTGAACCTTTTTAATTTATTTGCTTTTCTTCGTTAAGTGACAGTGCTGCCTGACGAAGAGTAGTGTATTTGTGAATTCGAAGCTGTGCCTTGATCATCAGTGGCATTTACCTTACCATTGAGAGTCACCGACACACCATTTGCTAAGAATGTTATACACAAAAAAAAAGTGCACAATATACGTTTTCTAACGTAATAGATTTATAAAAAATTGCATTTTTATGGATTGAAAATTGCAAATAATCATAGAAAATCAATTGGAACTTCAACCTGGATGTTTAGCTATTCTCCTATTTATTCATATTTACTATTTATAAGAATTTCCATTGTTCAATGAATAGGAGAATGCTATAAATAAACTAAAATACAAAATAGCACGCGCTATTTATATCAAAGCCAATTCTAAACGAGAGTTTCATGGAAAAACAAACCACCATATTATCCCGCAATCTATCATAACGAAGCGAAAATCCTATTTGTGGAGAAATGATTTTGCCCTCAAGCAATTTGAATCGCGCAATTGAATGAAATCATTTTTGCATTTCTACCAAATCGATTCACGGTTTTAGCATTTAAATTTGCAAAAATTAGCAAAGATTTTATGCCCCGAGGGAAGATTTAAAAAAGAATATTTCTTCGCTAAAAAAATTTTTTTTCAATTTTTATTATTTTTTTATTTATTTTAATAAATTATGAAAAAATCGAATTTTATTGTTCTCGCACATTTATTTTTACTTTTTATTTAAATAAAAAGACCAATTTTTTATTTTTTAAAAAAATTTTAACGAATTAATTAAATAATTTTTGAATGGATAAATTCGATAGATAAGCGATGTGGCATTATCAACGTTTTTCTAAGAGCGTTTATCGTTTCAAGCTCGCTATGCCGGAAAAATTTTTCCAGATAATCATCTGGCGACTGAAAAATAGCCAGCATTACACGGATTTTTGAAAGACACAAGTACACTCCTACGGTGATTAAAAAACCAGTACTGGTACTTCAAAATGAAGAACGACAAACAAAAATCGCTTAGTCATTCTACTCGAAACATGGAACTACGGTTAAATTATTATTTATTTGGACCACTTTATTCTTTAATTTTCTATGTTTTCACAAACATTGTTCATTAATTTTGTGCATAGTTCCACAAGTAAAGTATAAAACACGTTGAATGCAAATGTTGAATAAAAAAATATTAGTTGGAAATTTTTCATGAATGCACTATATACGATTCTTAGCTTCGTCAATTACTAGCATATGAGGTATACAATAGGTTAGTAAATCATCTTCAGCAGTACCAATCCAGTACCAATTCTATAATATCTCCTCTCAGCGGCCAACTGATTCCTCCTTATCTCTGGAGTATCTTCCCTTATATTGTGCGTAGTCCGCTAACCTGGAATCTCGACCGAAAGATTCGAGGGTTCCCAAGGTTAAGAGATAGGAGATAATCCATTTCCTATTTTATTTCATCAAACTCGCTCTAAAATGATGAAATGCTTCATCATGCTCGTAGGCATCGGACTCTGTAACCGAGCAGCTGAGTTTTAGCGCAGCCGATGTAACGTCATAGACCCATCTCGACCATTTTAGGTTCGTTGCTTTTCTCTCAAATTATTTTTGCATAAGTTATAGATTGTTTTATCGATTGTTTTATTTAATATTTTGTCATATTTAATGGGATCTAGTTTTTTTTCAAATTTTATTATCATATCATTATCATTATCATATCATATAATTAATGTATGAAAAAAAAGACAAATTGGCTGATTTATCTGTTTCAAATCGCTCTTTCTCGTCATTTATGTTTCTAAGTTATAAAACACTTTGGCGAACTTGGCTGTTCCTATATTCGTTGGCTTTTTACATTAATAAATCTGCTATTATTATTTTTTTATTTCTTTTTTCATATTTTTCTCATTCTTCTAGTAGCGCGCCGCGCAAATTGCTCGCTCTATTGACGATTATGAAAAGATGTTTCCGATCGGGTGGCATTCCTAAAAGCGATTAAAACACTCCTTTTTTCACTGTCCAAGCTCACATATACCACTAGAACGTCTACGCGTTCAAAATCATCCTCAGTGGTATCAGCCTAAGTATTATTGATTGATTCTACTCAATTTTGGCACCATTCATGCGTAGAATTTAATGAGCTGCTTGCGTTAAATCCTATAATGGACTGTTTTTTTTAATAATAAAATTACAATTTCAAATATTTTGAGGTTACAACAATCAACTCATTATTTATTGTTTGTTGTAAAAAGAAATAATTACGTCGAATACATCGAAAAAACAGTTGAACTCTCTTCTTTAGGCGTAGAAAGCTTATTAGTTGTTCAACAAATTTATTTGATTTAGTCTTTAATAGGGAACAGTATGGCTTGATGGGTTGTTGCTTAATTCAGAGCGCCGATGTTGAGGTTCTATTCGCCGCGAGCAAACCTGTCCGAAAAACCCGGCTGATGTTGGCGACTCACTTATACTTCTATCGCCAAGGGACTTCCCGGCATATCTGTCCAGTGCGACAAGCCAGCTGTGCGAGTCCAACCAGTAATAGAGGGCCCTTAAAATAGTTATAAAATAGTGAGTGGGAAAGATTGAGGGAAAAGGGTTTTTGGTAAATTATTGATATTGGATTAATTATAATATTGGAGGTGCGATTGATGGTGGTGAACTATCATATAAACTAAACAGAATTCAGGTTTCTCAAATATAATTTCTTCACATAAAAATATTATAGGACGAATTTAGTCAGATTGAACTATGCCCTCTATGAAATGGCTATTTTTGGTTAGACTTTCTCCGCTGGTTTTTAATATGGTCAGGAACATTTGCCATGGAATAATAATAAATAGGCCGCTAACACTACCTCTTTTTCACAACCTCAGTGACAGGTTAATTCTTGTCAGAAGATCGGACTGTTAAAACATGGTCCACATTACATGCAAAACGAATGATCATTAAAAAAGGCCAACGACAAAAGAGCGTACATATCTAATGATCATAATTACGGTCATAAAAGTGAGGGAAGCAAAATCAAACCTTCTTAATATTTTTAATATGAGCACAGTGATATAAGTGAAAAATTGAATAGAAGGAGAGAAAAAAAGCCAACAAGAAAATGGAAAAATGTTCGATAAAATGCCATTATCCTTAGATTATAAGTACCAAAAGATCGACCCACGAATTGGCAGAATTGTCTTTTTAACCTCACTTCCACTTCCTTCAGAAGCCGTTATGTTCTATTTATATCCCTTTGAGGCCTACTTATGATTCTCTCTCAAAACCTTCCGATTTCTGATAGAAGTCTGATAGATTGTTAATAAAATGCAACAATGCGCTACATTTTGTTGTTGCAGTGATTTCGCAGCTTTCCGTTATCCTTTTGCTGACACGAACTGTTATAGCAAGTAATTATTTGATTTATTTAGCAATTTTTAATTTTTAAAAAAACTGAAAATTACGATGAAATTTCAGGATGACATTAGAGAATCCTCGTGAAAAAATTCCTGGGAAAGGTCCGAATCGTGATTTGATTGAGGAACTACGATCAGATTTCAGCTTTGATTTCGAATTCGAGGACTTTATAGATTGTCTCTCTGAACAAAGCGAGAATTCTTTCGCTGCTTTTCTTTCGCGTTACTATTTCGGTGAGTCGTTTGTCGTAGCTAATGAAAAGAAGATTGTTTCTGTGTCATTTCTTAGTTAATTTTTCTTTTCTTATTGAAATGCTTTTCGCACTAAATATTGCAAATGTGGCGTTGTTACATTTTTGAAGCTACCCATATGGCTGTTGAACTGCATAGAATCAAAGTTCAATCTTCTGTTAGATATTATGCGTTACGCAATGAAATCGAGAATATAATAAAAGAAGCGAAGCGAGAGCTGAATATCTTTACAGAATGAAAAATTTATACAAAGATAGCGATGTGAATCTTTAATTTCTTACAATTTTTTTTAATTATTTTTTTTTTAACTGTTGTAGAGATTTTGGAGAAATTTTTTGTTGTCCATTTTAACCCATTCCTGAAAGTTCATTAATTTATATTTCTTTTTTTTCAAAGTATTTATGATCTCGATAGATCAAATTACTTATAGATCAAAATCAGTGTATTGTATCTTTCATCATTTTTTGTTCCATAATTAAATGGAAATATCTTAGTGAATTGAACCACATATACTACGTTGTTTTTTTGCTGACAAACGCCAATACGTTTGGGATTCGATATTTCATTTATCCTTACAATGAGAATGAGAAAGATTGTGATAAGGAATTATCCGATACGAAAACTAATAAATAACTCTCGCTTGGAAAAAAATTTAAAAAAGTTCTACTCTATATCTAGTCTGTTATGTATTTCAGCAATTGGAAATTGTGGGATAAGATGGAGGGAAATAGCTGGGCGAGAATGACAGAAGCTTTTTGGCGATTTTTTTATCAAAATTATTTCTTTCCTTGTCTGTTGGGTCATTTGAAATGTTCACTTGCCTTTTTTTGTGTTTTGCTTTTCGGGCCTGCATATTTTTGTTGTCACACTGGCCGATGTGTCATATATCATTATGTTCGCCACGATTTCTTTTAATTGCGATCTTCTTCTTCTAACAGCTCTAAGTATTACTGGTTAGTGGTTTCGCTGGCTACAAGGGTAAGACGTCTCCAAGCTCGCCGTCGGACCGATCATTTAATTGCAATAGATGATTACAATTTTTTTTTGCGTGATCAAATTTGTCACAAAATGGCGTGTATTTCGGGCTGTTTGGCTTCATGAGTTTAACGTGAAGCATTGAGTTCGCAATATTCAAGCAAGTTTTAGTGATAATACTTCTAGAGAAAGAACAGTGCGACTTCTGAGAGAGAGAGATCATCTAGAAGATACCATAAGTTAGGTACAACCCTTTTAAATTCTATAAATGAAAGAAATGGCAGAGATAGATCCCAGAAGTGAAGCAGATTTAATCGAGCAAGTATAAGCAAGAGAACAAATTTTTACACTCGATGAAAAATATATTCTGCATAATAAGAGGAAAATAACGGCACAATGGTTGGCAAAAATGGTACAAAGAATCATATCTGTGCCCAAACTCGACTTTCAGTTGAGGAAAACTGTGGTCACTTTTGTGATCTGTTGTAGCTTCTTAAAACCTGGCGACTCAGAGTAGAACAATGCAATAAGGAAATATTTCAGATGTTACGAAAAGGGTTGCTCAAGAGAAATCCATCATTCTACACGACAATGCCAAACTATATCATCTACCGTCCACTTCGCAGAATAGAAATTAGCTATGGTTAACTCTTCACATATCTACCATATTCTCTTGTCCTTTCGCAAAGCGATTCAATTTTTCCATCTTCTTGGTTATTTTCCTAAAGAGCAAATATCTCCTGAAATACATGGATCGTTCAGTAGTTTTAGAAGTTCGAATTTTCATGCAAATGAAATATAATATTGACAAAAGTTTATTAAAATATAATGGTGAATATATCAAACGCGAAGCTAATCGTTTTGGTGATAACAAATTTCACTACAAATTTCACGATTCCAAATCGCAGCGACTCCAATACATTCAATATTGTTTGTTGCATCTAAGAAAAATGCGAAAATTTCTACCTTATTAATCGAACAAAGTTTACATTTAATAACATAGATTTTGCAAACTGGAAAATGGTAAAATTTTAATAAATTTCAACAAACTGCAAATTAAATGAAATAATTAAAATAAAAATTAAAAAAGACCGATAAAAGAATATTTTAGAGAAGAAAAAAATATGAAATAATTTGAAATTGCCTTAAGGCATAAATTTCGGCTAATTCGTATTATAAATTTTAAATCCTTCAACGCAGATAAATTAGAATATCTGATAGAAAGCTAAAAATGATTTCACCAGATGGCACGATGAAGTTGCTTTAAGGGGAATCCTTTCAATATAAATTTGAAGATATATAGCGCATTAATGGAAGGGTTCTTCGGTGGTCGTTAGTGCTTTGGTTGTGATTATGTAAAATGCGATGGTCTTATGGAACTTCTTTTGGGATGGTTATATGCACTAATTATTAGTTTCAATGCAAAAGATTTAGAAAACTTCAAATTTTTATCATCAGAATAATTTGTCACTTTATTACGGTTTTGCTTTTTTCTTATTTGTAATTTGTAATACTGTTTGGTACTTCCCATACCTTACTTCAGGTTGTCACCTTTTATTAAAAAACTACAGCCCTGTAGAATATGATAGTTTTTGTGAACAATTCTAGAATGGAAAGAAGGACATGAGAGAAGCGGGGCAATATTCAACACTGTTTTGTTTTATTTTTAATTAAAACTATTGAAACAAAAATTGATTGGAACAAATGCTTTCTGTGATTTATTTGTGTTTCTTTCTTTATCGAGTTTTTTGTAAGTTCTAGTTCGGGTGGTACTGCCCACTCACCTTTATCAGAAGCACATTTTCCCAGCAATGGTTCATAAAAATTAATAACTGTTGTTCAAAAGCGATAGCATTTCTCTTTTGAACAAATCCATTCTTGCCTAATGATCGGGAATGAATAAAAATGGATATGAGGAAATTTGAACAACAGGGTTAAATTATAGGTAAGTTAGTAGAGTTGTTATGTCGCTTCGGTCGTTGTCGAGCTCGTCGGTTTCTCCGATCATTGGCAGAAATTAGCTTATCATAAAAATTTATTGGAATTTATTGGGTAGCCTCTATTTCCCCGACGAGACTCTCTCACAGATTTCGGCGAATGCTTTTTCAAGGGGAACATTTTTATTAAATATTATTGTTTATATTGTTAATATTATTGAATATTATTGTTTAGTGGTTCATGCACACTTTCTACTTAAGCTTAGCTCTCGATGCAGTTAGATGCAGTTAGAAATATCAAATTAGTAGTAATGACAAAGTCGAAGCATAAAAATATCTAATTTTTGAGCTTTGAGAATAAAAAAATTTTAAGAACACCAAATTTTAGGTCAATTAAGAGAATAAATGAATATTGCAGTTGGAACTGAACATCTCTACAAATTTAAGCATGATCTATTTCTAATAATAATAAAAACTGAAACAACTACTATTATTGCGATAGCAAAATTAATCAGGCAAATGAAGAGAATTATAAGAAATGTTTTCATAACGTGTTGACCTTATCCAATTTTTTCATGATTTTTTAATCTTTTATGCAAATTTTTATTAAATAAAAATTTGTATTTTTATTAAATAAAAATTTGTAAAAATTTGTATAAAATAATAATTTTAATTTTAAAAAATTAATAAATTATAACATTTAATAAATTATAACATTATAACATTTATTTTTAGCATAAAATTGCTATTATGTAAAGTAATATTTTAAAATAACTGGAAGATTAAATTATAAATCATTGAAATTTATTAATAGTCAAATTTTAAAAAAAGATGATTTTAAATAATTTTGTATTAAAAAATCTACTCGAATCAGCAAATCATAAAAACTTTATTTAAAAACTTATAAAAAAACCATTGGAATTTTCAAAAAATCAAAAAAATTTCAAAAATAAAATTTTTATCAAAGAAAATATTTCAAAAACAAACGAAAAACTTAGCCAATTAATATGAAATATAAAATACGTTTTCGCCGGCAGCTATGGCCAAAATAATTAAATGCAACTTAAATATTCCTGAAATGGAAATTTGCAAAACAAACATTAATTATTTTTAAGGCATACAAATAAAAAAATTATGAAAAATCATTTATTGTCTTTTTTATTTCTCCTTTTTATCTTTTATCATATTTTAAAAGATTTTCAGCATGAAGAAAAAGTTATTAGCAATCACCCTTTCTATTTAAAAAGTCAAATCGATGGAATAAATGAATCTTGTAATTTTTTTTATTTTTGTGATTTTGTGATTTCAATTTGCAAAATCTTAAATAATTTGACAACTGCACAATCAACGAATCTCTGTATTCTTTTGTTAATTTAAAGCCTCATTTTTTTAAATTACATCTTTCTTTTGCGAGTATCTCATCAGAATTAATAATTAATGATAATTAATAATTATTTTTAATAAGGTAAAAAACTAAAAAATGAAAAACTAAAATTTTATCAATTGTTATCAATTTAGTTGGATTTTCGTTATATAAATCTTTTTTCAAGTTTTTTCCTGCTTAAATATCTTTGGCTCAACAATTAAGTCTGTAAAGGCATCCGAACTTGCATAATGAGGATGATAAGTTTTCAGAAAATTTCAGTTGCTTGAGAGGATGATAGAATGATTATGGAATTCAGGGCGAAGCTCTATCAAAGGATTTAAAAGTTCTTTGATGTTATCAGTATTGATATAAATGTGGCATTAGGGAATTAAATTGCTTCGGTAAGGTGGGCGAGAATCTCGCAGGCAATATAGCAGGTTTGAAGCATTAACGAGTTGTACAACGAAATTTGGCAATGCATATTAGGTTGATCTAATAGATAATTAGTGATTAATAAGATGAATATATATATGTTCAGTATTTTTATACAAGTATTTTTTGTCAGTATTTGGTTATCAGTCTAACGTATTTTATATAATATAATATAATAATATATAAAATACCTTTTTTCAATTTCCAAGAATTCAATGA